GTGCAACTGCAAACTCTGTTGCCTTGCTGATGCTTACATTGTCATCTCCAGAGAACTGTTGCAGTTTGATTATGGTTGGAAGTGTTAACATCTTGGTATGACTGAAAAGCATCAGGTGTATTTTTAATATCTATGAATATTTAATAAAGTGTGAATGAAAATATTCTCCAAATACGAGATAATAAAAAAAAAAATCAATCTTTAGATCGTAGTAGCTCATGTTCTATTATGGGCAGTGAATAAGGTGAATTTTAAAAAAAGTTTTCTAACAGCTTGAACTGACTTTCAAAATACTGACTGTATCAAAAGCCGCAAATAACAATAATATGTAAATTATGCTGAGTATTTTCAGGACTAGTAAAAGCTTTCGTACAAAAGCTGGAACAGGTTGAAACTTTGCAATTGGGACATCTGTTTGAGATGAATTTTAATGATCACGTTTGTTCCTGTCAGTTTCTGTGGAAATCTTCAGCAAGGATTAGGTGTACAAGATTTTTCCCATACAGAAGTGCCATGGTTTTCAAATTCTCTTACTGCCACTACCCATGTCTTTTTTTCTAAAGAAGAAAAAAAGTGACTTGCATAGAACATTTTCTTTGAAGTGAGCTTCATCGGAACAGAGGTTGTTATTAGTGCCCTTCAGGGTATACAAGAGGCAAGTGCCTTTATACCCAGTATAAGAAAAATTTTAAATGTATGTTTAAGTTTCTAAAGTTAGGTAATAAGATGTGTCTAAACACGAATATATTTGCTCCTGCAAGGGTCTGTTGTTGATGTAAGGTAGCAGATAGCATGTTTATTAGGTGATAGCTAATTATGCAGTGCTAAATAGCTGTTGCATATTTAGGGATTGCAGCTAGTATTCCTTTCTAAATACATACTTCCTAATTTTTCTTAAATTCATATTGGCAGAAAATGGCTCCCACACTCCCAGATCTCCCAACTGAAGATATTCTTAGGGCGTTATTATGCATTTTTTTTGTTGAATTTTTTCTGCAGACTGCTATTATTTTGCAGTATGCAATGCGAAACTGTCTGTAGTGTCATGGATTTGGTAGTGATTGTAAAGGAATATTTTGTTTTCCTACTTTTAGAAAAGAGGTTTGGGTTTGGTTTTTTGGTGTTTTTTGTTGTTGTTGTTATGTCTTACTCTTGTCTGTAATTCTTGAAGAAGACGACTGGATGAACTCGTAGAGGGTTCTCAACAAGTTGGAAGAGGAAAACTACATACCTTACAAGCCAAACCTGCTTGAGAGCTCTGGTTCTTGTCTGTCCTTTCCACTTAATGTCTGTGTACACGCATGAAAACAGTACAGTGCAAAATGCAGATTTCTGTGCCAAACAGCTTATGAAAATTGGACTAACAATCAGGTGTTTTGCACAGTTTGGGTGTTCTGTTTTCCACAATCGTGCGGTTTCTGTCTTGCAAGGCTTATCTTGCTGCTTATTGTTTTCAGCTGTATATTCTTCATGACATGTTCAGATATTGTTGTAAATTAAAACATCTTGGTAATAAAGTATGTGTCTGTCCTGATTTCATCCAGTCAAATGGGGGCTCTGTGGCAGTTCGGTAGACCACAAACTGGCAGTCATACAGCCCAAGGGGTGTTTAAGGTATGTGATGGGCAGTCTTACAAGCTGTGAAAGTAGCAGGTAGGTGAGATGAAAAAATAACTTGAGGGACAGTCAGTCTGTTTACATGTGTTGGAGCAATGAATGATGATTCTCCATCACAGCAAGCCTGTATTAACAAACAAGTTGTTAGGCAGCGTGTTTTACAGGTATTTATCAATACCACTTCACCAGGAGTGGTGAAGTACTGGCAGTTGCAAGACCATACTTGGGTTGATAGCAAATTTCAACATGTCTGTTGGGCAAGAAGGGGAATATATCCACTCACCGTGACTCACTTGAGGAGCCCAGTCATACCAAGGCTTCAGCAGCCTCTTGCATATCTGTGATCTGTGAGGTTCTCAGGCTTGCATACTCCTTATATGGCTTCTTACTTTCCAACATCAGACTGGTAACAGATTAGTTGGCATGAAAAGAGTGTTGGCTGCCAAATAGCAATTGCTGTTTTCCACTGAGATTAATGGCAGACATACTTTTGTCTGGCTTACCAAGTACAGATGAGCTTTTATAAGCCTCCCTTTGTTCTAGTCTTGCATTCTCAACACGTTGGTGATCATGCCAGGTTTGAAGCTTGGAGGTTGGTGGTGGAGCCAGCTGTAGTAGCAGTTAGGAAGTAGGAGTTCTGATGGTAAGCCTTCCTCAAAATCTGCCTTGTTATGCTGACATAAAGGACTGCAACAACATCTTTTCCATATTTATGCTTTAATTCAGCAAGAACATTAAACTACCCTGTAGTCAGACCAGGTGGAAAAAGTAATTTTCCTAATTTTATGTATCTTTACAGTATATTTTAGGGAAATAAGGCCTTAGAATGCCAGAATGCAAGTTAGAAGTAGTGAAGTATCTGTGCTACAGTTTTGTGTGCTCTATGGATTGTACGTGGCCTTGCATTTTCCGTTTTTCTCTTTGTGCTTGCCCTGGAAAATGAGGGCTCTTCTGGATTTCCATTATGCCTGTCTGTTGCCAAGACCTTCTAGTGCGTTTGCACACAGCAAAAATTTGAGAGGGATATAGTGTGATGCATTTGAGGTTACCAGGCTTGGCACAGTTCAAGCAGCATGTTATGTGACTTCCTGCTAAAACCAGAACAATGCATTTTGTTGCATATGTTCATTCCTTACAGTAAACTTAGTAAGCTGTTCAGAATTGCCTGGGGTGTCTATGGCTCAAATACTTGTCTTGAAAGACTGAATTATAGCCTTGTATTTGCAATCATATCTGTGATTGAAATGTGCATGTAAAGGAGAGGGCGAATTGCAAATTAAAAAATTGTGATGTAAAGGTGAATTTTTTCTGGAGTTCTCAAACAGGTTTCTCTGATGGTGGGCTAGCCACTTAAACCTGACTTTGGATGTAGCTAAAATCTTAATTTCTTTATGCCTAAGAGTTCCCTTTCATTCAAATTAAAACAGTGTTTTCCCTACAATTGGCATGTAGGTAAATGTAGCTCTGTTAGGGAACAGCATGGTCAGTAGTGGTATAAAATTAGAGTTCCGGGTGGAAGAAATACTAGAAATTCGGAGGAAAAAGAAAGGCTTGTAAAAGCATCAGAATTGCCTAGGAATAAGGGATGAGTAAAATAGCTGTCTTGACATATATTCTGTGTAGGTAAAAGAAAAGTAAAAACCTACAAAAAGTAGTTGGGGAGCTAGCAATTAAGGTTCGTTAAGCTTTTCCTTTTGATAGGAAGCTATACTTAGGAATCTGTCCTTTTTTTTCCTAGTTGCGTAGCAGTAGCTGTTTCTGAAATAGGGTTGTTAAAGAATTACCTCAGAGTTACTCTTTGATACGCAAAGCAGTATCCGGAAGGGCTTGCTGCTTCAACCAATGTGGTAAACTTATATTGTTAATAAAGAAGTTCCAAGTCACGAAAAACCTACTCACCTTGCGATGCTTTTTCTTAAAGGGTGAATTTAAATAAACTTTACGGTTGGTTCTGTGTGGCAATATTATTTTGTCCCATTAATTTTTGGAACATGGTGTCTAAAAAAACGTAGGGTTGTATGTTGGAAAATCATTACATGTTCGTTGTAGGTCCTTTTCAGATGTTACTGCTTTTCAGTAGAGCTAGTGAACTTCAAGAAGCAGGAAGTGCACTGTCCAGAAGCTGTTGCAAACAAGGAATTTCAAACTCTGTTTCTAGCAGGGTGAGAAACAGCAGTTTCTTCTCCTCCACATTCTTTTGGGGGGGGAACTAAACAAATTTGGTGAGTTGAAGTTCAAAAGTGGGCTGTGTTTTCATGTGTCCCTGCAGTATGCTTTGTTTTATTTTTTTAATAAGATTTCTCTGGCTGCCAAGACAACCATAAATATGTTCAGACTTAATCTAGGCTTAGTGTTTTAAAGTACTCTGATCCAGCCTGGCAAAAAGATGTAGCAGCATCCTTTAACATTCAACATTTCTTTTTTCCTTTTTTCTATTACAAAGGTGGTGGCAGCTTTGAAAAAAGGCTTTTTCTTGGTTGAAGTAACACCAATAGCCAGTGCTCCAATTACTACAAAAGAAAAAAAAAAAACCTTCACTGCCATTATGTTAGTAACACCGAATGGATTGGTTTGATTCCTTTTAAATGATCTTTGTCTTGGTTTTTAGTTTAACTGCACCTGCATCTTGTTGCACGTGTATTCCTTCCTGTACCATTGTTCCTTTACCACTAGTTGTGAATAGATCATTGTCGTGCTCTCAGGCCCAGGCTGTAAACCACAACTGATATTACCTATCTGGATGAGATATCTCTATGGCCTGTTTTTAGCGGATAGTATACTTCAACCTGAACACAATTAAAAAAACCCCAACAAACCAAAGCAAAAAAAATCACCAGCATTTCAGGGCTTAGGACAATAAAACAGACTATAGCTTCCAAATAACTCATCAGCTTTAATGTGTGAACCCTGATAGACATAAGGCTAGTGTTTTTACATATTTATGGATCCACATTATCCGACTAATCTTAACTGTTCTGTGTCCTTACAGATGTTACCCTTCTCTAGTTTTGGGGAAAATGCTATATATTTTTGTTCAGTCATCTCTCCTTTTTCTCAAAACTAAGTCAGTGTTCAACTCTCTGTAGCTTTTCAATATCTTTCGTCCCAACAGTTGGCAGTAATCCATGCTGTGTCAACCAGGGGTCAAAAAGAATGCCTTTGACCTGTAGTTACCTTTTTATTCTTCCAAGGCAGAAGAGTGTTTTCAAACAACCCAATACATAGTAATTTCACCTTTTGATTGCATCACCCATATGTTATTTTTTAAATAATCATAAAACTGCTGTTTAATAATTTCTAGCACTTAGGAAGTTTATGCAAGATGAGAGAAAATAATATAAGATAAAGTTAATTTGGAGTGTCTTTTTTTGTATGCTATTTTTCTTTAGACAGGACTCTCATAAACATTCAGCGACATCAGAGCAATTGGCAGAGTTGAGAAAAAAAAATTACCTTTTCATGAACTTCTATGAAAAATGCAAATGAGCAAAGTGTGAGCTTCAATGGTAAGTTTAACTTTTTATTACTTCTGATGTCCTTCTTTACGTGTTCTCGAACACCTGTATTTATGAAGTTCTTCAAGTTTCCTGTTTGTTCTTCGGAATGTTTGAAATTTGTTTTTTAATTGCTTTTGAAATATTTTGAGAAACACCTTTAAACCTAAAAAACATGAAGAATTAACACACTGTCTGCCTTTTTGATAACTTAGTATTCTGTCTCAGTATGTTAAATTACTCAGGGTTCTAGAGAACTTAATTTTCATAGTTCTCCAGTTTGCAGCATTCACTTGAACTGCATAGCTGTCTGCTAAAAACATCACAATTTATCATCAATCTTCTTTTTTCAGTTGTCGTGGTTTAACCCCAGCCAGCAACTAATCACCACACAACGGCTTGCTCTCTTCCCCCCAGTGGGATGGGGGAGAGAATCAGAAGAGTAAAAGTGAGAAAACTCGTGGGTTGAGATAAAGACAGTTTAATAGGTAAAGCAAAAGCCGCACGCACAAGCAAAGCAAAACAAGGAGTTCATTCACTCCTTCCCATCGGCAGGCAGGTGTTCAGCCACCTCCAGGAAAGCAGGGCTCCATCACGCGTAATGGTTACTTGGGAAGACAAACACCATCACTCCGAACGTCCCCCACTTCCTTCTTCTTCCCCCAGCCTTATATGCTGAGCATGACATCATATGGTATGGAATACCCCATTGGCCAGTTGGGTTAGCTGTCCTGGCTGTGCTCCCTCCCAGCTTCTTGTGCACCTGGCAGAGCATGGGAAGCTGAAAAGTCCTTGACTTAGTGTCCTGGTTTTGGCTGGGATAGAGTTAAATTTCTTCCTAGTGCTGTGTTTTGGATTTAGTATGAGAAGAATGTTGATAACACACTGATGTTTTCAGTTGTTGCTAAGTACCCTGTTAGTCAAGGACGTTCAGCTCAAGAAAAACAACAAAAAAACAAGCGTTGGGAGGGAACACAGCCAGGACAGCTAGCCCAGCTGTCCATACCATGTGACGTCATGCTCAGTATATGAATGGTAGGCGTGATCCAGGAAGTACCGATCGCTACTTGGTTATCGGTCAGCGCGGGTGGTGAGCAATTGCATTGTGCATCACTCATTTTGTATATTCTATCATTATCATTATTATTTTCCCTTTTCTGTTCTATTAAACTGTCTTCATCTTAACCCACAAGTTTTTCTCACTCTTACCCTTCCGATTCTCTCCCTGTCCCACTGGGGGTGGGTGGAGTGAGCGAGCGGCTGTGTGGTATTTGGCTGTCTGCCAGGTTAAACCACTACACTTAGTGTAAGCACTAGTTAGCAACAACTAAAACATCAGTGTGTTATCAACATTCTTCTCATACTAAATCTAAAACACAGCACTATACCAGCTACTAGGAGGAAAATTAACTCTATCCCAGCCAAAACCAGGACATTAGTAAAACATGAAATGTAGCAGTGTATCCAGCTTGTGTGAGGGCTTTTTAGGGGTGAGACGTTTTAATGAGAGTATTTCTTTTAAACACTAAATTGTGTAAGATGGATGAGACTTGAGGAAAGCTTTCTATCTTACTGATTTTTAGATATATAGTGTCATTAACTTCTAAAATATTGGATGTCTTAATTTGATTTTATTGATCAAGTTTAGTTTTTAATCAGTAAAACTACTCAAGTTTCTGTCCATATATTTCAGCTTTTGTCCATAAAAACTCTTAGAGAAGATGGCTGATGTAAGCCTGAAGGAAGCAGCACTAATAGTTGGTGTGGTGGCAGCCTGCTACTGGAACAGTCTCTTTTGTGGCTTTGTTTTTGATGATGTTTCAGCGATTTTGGACAATAAAGATTTGCATCCTTCTACTCCGTTAAAAAATCTGTTTCAGAATGACTTCTGGGGCACTCCAATGTCTGAGGTAAACTCTTTGAGAAATACTTGGAGGCATTTAGGAAATGGAAAAAAACCTTGCAGAGAGTTTTTATACTTTTTTTTTCCTAATGTGGTTTTAACAGAATAGTTTGATTCTGATTAAATTTAGTGGTGCTAGTGTTTTGTACTATGAGATCAGGAACGGATGTCGCTTATATTCTTTCCCTTTGTTCAATAAAAGAACTTGTAAGAAAAGGAAGTCATATATCACGCTTCAAGATGCTGTGTGTTATCTAATTCCAATATAGAAATTGGACAACTCTGACCATTTTCCCTTCTCCTGCTGCAAAAGCTAGACATTGGCATACAAGAGTATTTATTTCTAATTGCAGTCTGGAAGGAAAGGTAACACTCTTAAACAACAAAGCTAGGAGTTAAAGAACGGGTATTAAATTCATTAAATTTATTTGAGTAAGTACATTCATGTGAATTCAGAGTTTTTGGTTTGTAGCCCATGTAGAGTGGCTATGTTTTTATCTGAAAAGCTGCGTTGGCATTAAAGTTGTTGATAAACGTCATTAAATGGCAATGGCTAAAGGATTTACATGTAGTTTAGAAAGTTACACATGGTGCCATTGCTGAGCGAATGAATAAAAATTCTCTGACAGTCATATGTTTTTTGCCTACCAAGGCATTCCACCTTGTAATCTTCTCCTTTCTTACATCCATAACATACAGGATTAGTTCCTAGTGAGATACTAATTGCTAGCTCTGCAAATACTTTGATACATAATTTTCATATAACCTTGTAATGAAAGCTTCCAGACTCTTTTTCAGATGCCATCTAGTCCTGTAGCCATTGAGAGTAAGTGGGTTCTTAAACTCCTCCCAGTAAAATTTCAAGTAATATTTTTCAATGTTTTTACTCCAAAAAAACCCTAACCATGTGGAGTGGGAGAAAGCCATCTCATTGAGTGTTGATTTTGCACTTAAAACCAAGTGAAAGTCAGGTTAATTTTAACTAAATGAAGTCAGATTAATTTGATCATTCATGGCTTTTAAAATATTTTTTCCTGTCTTGTGTTTTTGTCTGTCTGTATGTGCAATTTGGTTCCCTGTCCCTGCCCCCCAGTTTTTTCTTAGATTTTCTGCCTTTGTTTTACGGACATATTCAGCAAAATATCAACGGGCTGTGGGTTGACAAATACATTTTGGAACAGGAAGATGGTGTTAAGTGTAGTTTTTAAAAGGGTTTATGGATGGAGTAACTGGCAACATAGACGTATTGACTGGTAGACATACTGAAAATATGTAGATAATACATTCAGCTGAGCGCACCAAATTTTTATTTTGTAAAATACTGATCTAAAACATGAAATGGCAGAACAATCAAAATACTTGAATAATACATTAAAACTATGAGGAAGTAGGAAAAATAGTCAGAATTAACTTCTCTGTTTAACATTTTAATTTTAAATTGAGTTTTCATTTAATTCACTAGATTTTTTTTTTTTTTTTTAAGGTATTACTGATTTTCAGGTCTTTATTTTGAAGGTAGATGCCTGAGAATAGAGGGGGGAATCATGTATGCGTAGATTTTTAGAAAGATATTTTGGAGTAAAAGTCCCTTTGTAAGTTGGTGGTGACTGATTGATTTATTTACTTTCTTTTAGGAGAGGAGTCATAAATCTTATCGTCCCCTTACAGTTCTTACGTTTCGCTTAAACTACTTGTTCAGCGAGTTAAATGCAGTTTCTTACCACTTCCTAAATCTGGTCTTTCATGTGGTGGTTTGTGTAGTTTTCCTCAAGGTCTGTAAGCTTTTTCTGGACAACAGGAGCAGCGTAGTTGCATCCTTGCTCTTTGCAGTGCACCCAATACATACTGAAGCGGTAGGTATAGCTGCGATGTGCTTAATTTGTTCGAGTTGTATTAATTAACCTTAAATTTCATGGGTTTTATATCTGTTTATATATTGTAACTCCAACAAGTGTGTGATTTTACTAGTACTCACTCTGCCCTTTGCAATGAGTGGTGGAGGTGACAAATTCTAATGCTTGGAATTGTTTGTTGTTCCATACAGCTACTGAAAAATAATTAAAGAAACATTAATTTAGTTGTTAAATAACTTAGGTCTCTGCTATGAACATTGGCTTTTATGAAGATGGCTACTTTAACTTACATAGATATTTGTGTTCTGTGATGATTCATCCAGTATCATATTTTGCAAATACTATGAATACCTTTGAATTACCTTTGAATTATTATGAATACTATGAATACCTTCCAGAATCGCTAAGCGCTCCCCTCTAGCTAATCACCAAGTCTGTTCTGTCCACTTTCTTTTACGTCAATATATCTATCTCAGCAGGGCTTTTTCTGGGGTGGTTGTTGCTATGCTACATCCAGCTTAGGGTCATTCTGTTTGAACCTTCCATTTTTGAACATGTCCGATACAAGAAAGAGGAAATACCTTTCTCGCCTCTCATATTTACCTTTCCTTTGATTCTGAAAGAGTTTTTCACTGCTATGAAAAGCATTATTTATACAAGCTGTCTGATTATATACTTTTTAATGGTCAACCAGGCTTGTAGTGTTGTGGAGTAAATGGAGTCTTGTGATCGCCATTCATTAGATTTGTTTCCATCAGAAACACTGATAAAGCAGATCTGTGGAATTCTCTGCAGTTATTTCTGCACCACTTAGATTGGCTTTCCTAGATTCCAATTCACACGTGTTGCAAAGCCCATTCTCAGTCTCCTTTTTCTTACAGTATTAGCTGATTTTCAGAAAACTAAAAATGTTCAAAACTTTTGTTTCTTTGGAGGTGTTATCCCACTTTCATTTTTGCTTTTTTTTCCTAATGTGTTTTTTTGGGGGGGAGAGGGAGATGTCTTTTGATCTTAAGAAAATGAGAAGGGTTTGCTCTTACCTTATGTTGTATTTTTTTGGTCATGATTTGTTTGGGTAAAGAGTTTGCATCTCTCTCTCGTTCTCTAAAGACACAAATCCCTGTCAGTAGCAATTCAGTAGCCTGCATCTGTGTATTTTCAGCAAATCTTTATATGAGTTAATTTCATGGGCTTTTTAATTGGCTGCTCTTTGAGCTACTAACATGTCCTTGCTAGAAGAAGTTAGTGGCATGTTTAAAAATGCAAAAGTTAAACATCTAAAAATTTTTGCTTGCTTTTGTGCTTGAAAGCACAAACCCCCATAAAATCTTGGGTAAAATAAGGGTTAAAAAAATAATTTGTTAATTTCATGTGGTTTTCTTTGGAAAAAAAATGGTTTAAATTTCAAAATTTGGCTTTGCCTCTTTGTAGTAAATGTGATAGTATCTTTACAGGAGCATTAGCAAGTTGCTGGTGACTTACATTAGTGGTTCATGGCTTAGGTCATCCTATGTAATTTTATCACTTTCATTCCAAATATGACGATTCTTTATCATGCTTGAACTGTCAGATTCTGTATGAGATAACAGTAACACAATTGCTTTTATTACTATGCGACAGAGTTAACAAAACATATCGTACAAATCCTACAAAACATTGTGTAATTAAAGCTTGTTGTGTAAGGTAATGTGTTACAAAGTTATGAAGTACAGTTATGAAGCAATTTGGTAATACGTGTGTAGTTCCTGATATTAGCCACATGAGGGCACTTTAAGATTATGTGATTGGTAGAACTTGGTGCTGTACTTAAAACATTTGGAGACTCTGAGATTTAAGTGCAATTGTAATTTAATTCCCCCGCTGTTGTACTTAGGTACTCAGCGAAGAATCAGTTAAAGGGTTTTCTTCCTCCTCCCACCATCTTTTCCAATTTAAGTTTTTTGCTTTTGAGAAACAGTGCATTTTATCCTTTCAAATGTTTGCGTTGAGAATTCTGCCTAACATGCAACCAAGAAAGGATTCTTAGAGTTGGCAGTTGAGACTTGTGCACATGTATAAAAGGCAAAACAATTGGAAGTTTCCATACATGGGAAAGAGGAGGTAATAATGAGCTGTATTTTAGAACTGGGGACTTGGGTGCCGACTGACTTATTCAGACTTCAGTGAAAGCTCCAAAACAGGTCTCGTTCCCAGTTTTTAAATCATTTGATGGTACCTTGTGTATCTTTTATAATTGAAATGTATCTGATTTGAATTCCTTCAAATTAGTCTCCTACTTATTACTGCCCTGAACAAGAGTTTGAAAAGGCAGATGCAATACATAAACATTTCAAACCTTCACCTGTCTTATGATAAATGGATTTTTCCTGGAAAAGTTGGCAGAGCAGGATAAATAGAAAAGAATTTTCTGCTTGACTTCAGAGAAAAGCTGGGCTCTTGCGGTGGTAATATATCATTTTCTGAGGAAGAATTTTTGAGGAAATTGATTGAATAACAGCATCAGAGTTTCATTTGTCCTTGTCTTTAGAATTCTAGTTCAGTCTTTCTAGCTACTTTGCTACTATTCTGGCCAGAGGCATGTTGACTACCTTTACAGCTACACAATGTCAACTAACCTTGTGAATACTGGAATTTTCTCTCATAAGTCACCGTTGTATCCAGAAATAGAATCTTTCTTATGGTGGCAGGGGACTGGCACACCAGCACACTTGCTTTACTAATGATCTCTTTCAACTGATCTACAGACAAAGTTCTCTTTAATTTCTGTCTTAATGCTGGACAATTTTGAGATCCAGACCAGGAATCCTTGAAATGTCTTAAGACATTTTGGAAACAAACACCTGTATAGTATCCAAAATGTTAACATAAGCTCTGATGTCTGATCAGTTGTGAAACATGCCTTGTCTGTGCATGATTCAGTGAGTTTGGTAAACGTACGCTACTCCCAACAGAAGCACCAGAGCATGATTTCAAATTCAGATTTGAATACATTTCTTTACACTGTGACCTTGGATATTGAGTTACTTTCTCTTTTTATGCTGTGCTGGATCAATTATGCTTGACCAAGAATGTACCTAGCAATAAAAACTTCTAGCTAGATCCGGATGGCTGAAAGTCAGTTTTCAGCATCATCATAATTAAATGGTGAGCTATGAGGTTTTCTTAGCTAAATATGACCATCTACCTCGGGATAGCATGCCATTTTTCAGCCAGTTTACTTGCAAAAATTTGGATGTAATCAGAGGCATTACAGAAGAGGACAAATGAGAAAGAAAGGCAGTCCTAAATGGTACTGTGGTCAGCACAGTGGCTACTGCAGGCAGTAACCATTAACATAGTGACCTGTCTTTCATCTCTGGTTGTTGGTTGCATCTTAGTGTTTTTTGAAAACCGCTCCTGAAATGGAAAGTCATCTCTGTTTCATTGGGGATTCTGAAACAACCTTCTGCCGTATGGATTTTAGCACTTCTCCAAATTTTCGTAAAATCCATTCCTCTCTGTCTTGTTACCAAAGGGGCCACTACCTGCAATTTCAATATTGCCAACCAAATTATAATTCAGGAAATTGCCAGACCTGTAGTAAAGCCTGAGTCATTCTTTAACTCCCTTGCACAGAGCTTGCCATCAATTTATTTGTAACTCTTGACTGCTCACCTAAGAGCTGCCATAACACCATTCAAGGGAATGCTTCTTTCAGATTCAGGTCTGTTTAGTCAGTCAGAAAAGGTATGAACAAAAATAACAATCATAGTTTCTGTATGCCACTGTCTGCAGGATGTATAGGTACAACAGTCCTTGTCAGGCTTTGCTTAAAGCTTCTATTGATGGAACCTAGTTTTTTCCAAGTATTGTGAAGAAAGCAGTTGTTACCGTGCCCAAATTCTGCCTCAAATGCTATTTGTGGCTGTATTACTAAAGATAAAAGAAACTACAGCATTTCTCAGTTGTCTCGTTAATGGTGATACTTAGGGGCACATCAGCCACAGGTGGCCACCAGCCACCTGTATCATCCTGTTCTTGAATTCAGTACTGATTGAACTGAAAGCAGCCTTAGTCTTAGCCTTTTTTGCTTCGTTTACAGATCTTGTTTATGCATGCCCTGATAGTATATCAGTCATGCACTATTTTAGTACTAGAATAGTCACTAGAAGAATAATCTTGGTTTTTCTTCTTTTTCTTTACAGGTAACTGGAGTTGTGGGCAGAGCAGAGCTTTTATCATCTATCTTTTTTCTAGCTGCTTTTTTATCATATACAAAATCTAAAGGGCCAGATAATACCATAGGTAAATGATCTACGAATGTATACATAACTTAATTTCTGTATCACTGATAATAGAGCTCTTAAAATGTTAATATGGATGTATCCATTATTCAGCGTGTACAAAGAACCCTTCAGCCCCAAGATACCCATGTAATAGTACTTTCCATTATAAATTGCCTTTTTATTTTTTTCAAGACTTAAGCTCTTTTTCAGTTGTTTTGTAACACCTAGAGTAGGGGACTCTTGCACTGACTTCTATTAATGCAAGTAAGTGGAAGTATGTTGAGATGCCTCAGGCGGTCATGAGTAAGTTGCAACGTTTCAGTGGAGGTGTAGGAGGCTTGCCTCTTTTCCAAAGTCAAATTGACCTTGTGAAAATTCATAACTCGCTATAAAACATTCAGTTTGAAAAAGTGTTCTCATTAGGAATTAGGAAAGATTGGGTTTTTTTATTTTCCTATCATAGATTAGTCTTCTGCCTTTCATTTAGTTCTTTCAATTTAAGGGAGGCAGTTTTAAAACTGATACACGTATATTATTTTCTGTAGAGTAAAACTAATACTCTCCCTTTTCATAACAAATGGCATACTGAATAAGTTTGTAGTACATAGCATGTTCAAACATGAAGAGCCAAAGTCTTCACTTTTTAGGTTAATTTACTTTATTAAATGTTTGGTTTTGTTGTAAGATGGAACATTTTCAATGTCTTCTTTCTTTGCAGCGTGGACTCCAATTGCAGTGACTGTGTTTCTAGTAGCTGTTGCAACACTGTGTAAAGAACAAGGAATAACGGTGGTGGGGATATGCTGTGTGTATGAAGTATTTGTTGCTCAAGGGGTAAGATGTTGAAAAATAAATTGGATTTCTTCTCAGGAATTCTGTAATGAGATTAAGTGCTTTGAAGTGTCATATTTCAGCACTGATTTTTATCAGTTCAGGCTAACTCTATAGTTCTGTTACATTTTTCAGATTTTTTTTGACTCGACTAATGTTTAACATACATGGTTCATTGTGAGGGAATCCAGTGACTTCTAAGTTGTCCTTTACATGCCATACAGGGATGTTACCAAATATACTCAATAAAGAAAACCTGAGGTTTTAGTTGACTGAGATTTGCAAAGACTAGCATGTAACGGTCTTGATTAAGTCTGAGGTGCATAAAGATGGGGGATTATTTGTTTTTAATTCCTGTAGTAAAAATAGAAAACATGCTATATGCAAATGCGTTTCATCACATTCTAATGAATAACCAGATGTTTTTGAGTAGTCTTATTTGAATCAGTAATATTCTTATGAAATTTGTTGTTCTAAGAATACCTTTAAATTTAATTTCTAATCTGATAGGTTTTATCTTAAGCATTGGTAAGTCTTTAAGTTAATAGTAACTTTTCTTTTGTTTAGAGAAACAAGATGTTCCTGCAATGAAATAATTATTGGCTTTTTAATAGTTAAACTATATGCAATTTAAAAATATATGATTGCATATTCTAAGAAAACTTTCTGGTTTACTATTCCTTAATTACTTGAAGGAATATTTTGCAAAAACTGTACCAGTAAAAGCTGAAAGATTGTCTGTCTTGGGGATACATATTCAAGCCCGAAATACCAAAATCACATTTTTTGTGCTTACAAAAATACATGTGTTTGTAACTATTGCCTTTGCAAGTCTAGTGAATAAGCATATAATTTTCAAACTGGATTTCTAAGGAAATCACCACTATGTGACCGTACTTTTCAATTCACTCTTCCTTTCTTTTAGTAACTTTTGATCTGATCCTCAATTTCATGAAAGTTTAACAAGTTTGTGTAAGTCAACTGAGTAGAAAAGAGAAAAGCCAAACTGAGGCTTCTTCTGAGGGCACAGGTGTAGCATGAACTAAGAGTTTGACCAGTTCTCAAAAACCTATCAATATCTGTAGTTCAGCCAACCAGTATATGTGAAGCAATAAATCATCCCCAACACAAGACATGAAGACATAGGAAAAGAGGTACACAGGGAAAAAATTAGGGTATGTAATGGGAAACTGTACAAGATCATGATATTCATGAGGCAGGGGGAGATGGGTTACTGCAGTAGAGGCATAAAATAGAAATCCAGGGCTAATCAGGAAGTGAATAGTATTTCTACTGTTCCTAAGGGATTTTGTTTATAGGACAAATTTTCAGAGGGGCTGATAATTCTAAAAACAGTGATTTCTCTTCCTCAAGACTTATTTCATGGTCATACTTCATCTATTGAAGTCTCTGAAGATGGTACAAATTTTCTAATCAGTCAGTGCAAAATACAGAACTACAGGCATACAAGTTCAGCTATGATAGTGTTAGCAAGAATGCTTGAATAGAGTTATTTTTATTAGAATGGTGGACTTCTTTTTGGGAGTTGTCATGAAAGCTCTAAGAAGCTGAGTTACATAACTATTGGGAGCAGGCATTTAGAGAAAACCAAGAAAAAAAAAAAGATTAGGTAGCTTGTATTTATCTAAGGGATTAATGAATACACTATCTGATTATAAACACTTTTTTCCTTTGCAGTACACCTTGCCAGTGTTGTTGGACACAGCTGTACAGATTCTTCGAGGGAAGGGCAGTATTCCTTTCTCTATGCTCCAAACACTGTTGAAGCTCATAGTCCTAATGTTCAGTACACTGCTGCTTGTAGTTGTTAGAGTCCAGGTTATCCAGTCTCAACTTCCAGTGTTTACAAGGTAATAGTAAAGTGTCTCTTATTTACAGACACTGATAAATAAGATGTGGCTTAATGAGATCTGAATGAAATGGCCAAAAATACATCAACTTAAGTGTTTATTAACTTATTTTAATATTGGTAAGCAATGACTGTACAATATTACATTTTTTGTGAAGTTGATAAATGCTATATTTCAGTACCTGTTGACAAGAATGTCCAAAATATTGAGGTATCTGAGCAGGCATTAATTTTTAAAAACGTTAGGTTGTTAGTTTGTCTTAAAAATTCAGAAATTAAATGTTTCATTCCTAAAATATTTTTTATTGGCTATGTGTTTGATCCTTGGCTGAATACTCCAAACCTCTTAATAAGCTCTTCCTCTTCTACATACAAAATATTTTTTTGGCTTTAGGTATGTACTATGCAGAAAGCGTGGTTGACTTCAGATTCAGTGCTTGAAGATAAGTGTATATGAATAATGTTAGAACTGAAAAATTGTAATTTATCTTAAAAGTGTATGAGCAATGCAGAAATACAAGAATCTAATATTTTCCCTGAAAAATGAGGCAAACTATTAAAAACATGAACAAGGACCACTGAACGCAACTTTAGGTGTTAATCATTCTGTTTCTTCAAGCTCATGTTGATTATATCCCAAATCAGTTTCTTAAACTTGGAGGAGGCTCCGCCCCATGCTAAGATGAATCATAGTGCATGGTTCCCAAGTTACACACCTGACAGTGCAGGAAGATTAGGGTATTGTACATGTCTGTAATTGGTAGTTCTAGCTATAACTCTGAAGTTTGCTGGTTTCTGAGCACAAAGTGGATCAAGACTATATCTTTTTTCATTAAAAGCTTCTTTTTCTCCTTTCTTTTGCTTTAGGTTTGATAACCCAGCTGCTGTTAGTCCATCCCCAGCAAGACAGCTGACTTTCAACTACCTCCTCCCTGTAAATGCTTGGCTTCTTCTTAACCCCTCAGAATTATGCTGTGACTGGACAATGGGAACTATTCCTCTCGTGGAGTCTTTGTTAGATGTTAGAAATGTTGCCACCCTTACCTTCTTTTGCTTTCTGGGATCTTTAATTGTCTTCAGTCTCCGATATCCTGGGGATTCCTCCAAGACTGTATTGATGGTATGAATGATGCATTGGTTTTGTACTTTTTTTAAGAGTGTAAGTGGCTCAAGTGGTTTGGTCACATGTCTAATCTGCTGTGACCTGGAGATATCACATGCATCTCCTTTTGGGCTAGAATGAACACGTAAGAGGAAAATTGTTGTAGCCACAAAACTGTTAAATTGCAATTAAGTATGTGACGCTGTCAGGGATGAGATGGAGAAGAATAGACAAGAGATGAGAATAAATATGCCCCTCCTTATGTATTTGCAAACTGTATTGCGGCCTTTCTCAGGTATTCAGAACTCAACTAGGAAATGGGGGTTTTCAGTAGAATTAAATATGTTTTAAGGATCGGAATGCATTTCCTTCCTGCAAACCATCTACCTTATTTAAAAGTCAGTAGTCATGCTGCGTATTTAGCAAGTGACTTGATTTTCTTTCTCATAGGTATAAAAGAAAAGGACATATTTTGGCATTTAGGAATATAAGTTTTCCTCTTTTGTTGTTGTTCTTCTAACAAAGGCACTCTTCTGTAGTCTTTTCCATATTCTAAGGAAAAACTAATTTAGTGAACCTGTAAGATCGGTTCCTGTTTTTCAGTATTATATGACCTTAAAACTGAAATGGATTAACAGGAAAGAATATTTTGGAGGAAGTGGAAAGGGGCAAATGAGCTACTATTTTTTCATCCAAACCCAGTCATCTTTTTGATTGCTTCCATTGCAAATTTTGACAAGATTAATGATTACCTGGTACCATGGTTTTTATTAAATCAGTGGTGCAATTATGTGTACAACAAACCTGCATGTATACATCTTAGTCTGCTTCAGAAATAATGTACTTTTTAAATATGTAACTCAGGCAACAAAAGTTTCAGATGGGTGGGAATATTTATGCACAATTTAAGACTAAGGATTTCTTTGCTAATCAGCTGGCAAACTTTGATTCATTTCAAAGAAACCTAACATTATAGTTCTGACTCATATGGTTTTTCTTGTCTTGTCACTGGAGCGAGGCAATTTGTTTCACTAGAAGATGTGTGAAAATGATCTGTAGTATTGCTGATGAAGCCTCTTGTCCAGAATTTGGAAATTGTGTATGAAGAAAAGAAACTTCCATAGCTTATTGATATAATAAATGTGCAAGGTGACATACCCAGAAAAAAAGTTAGTTTTACAGTACTTAAAAAATGTCAAGGAGTAGTTTAATCTTCCTTCTTACAGAAGCTGAAACAACTTTTGTCCTGTGCACTGATAGCAGTAGAAATGTGTGTGGGGAGTGATTCACTTTTTTCATAGGACAGCTCTTGAACTTTAAGGCTCTTTATTCCCCTACATTTCTGTTTACTCCCTATCCAGTAAAGCTCAGAAGAGGAGAGGGTTAATGGAATTGTCAGCATACATTGTTGTAAGTCAGTTAGTTTTTGTTTGAGGGTGGTTTTTTTATATTTGTTTTTATTATTCCAAGTGTTTTTTATACGAGGGGTCTTCTGAGATCATTCAGTCCAGTGTGCGAGCCTCAATGTCACTTAACACAGTATAATCTTTGTTTAATGAAAATTGTTTTCCTTTAATATATACCTATGTTGTGTATATAACCTTCAGTATGATGCTGATTTTTTTCAGACATAATATCTAAGTGCCTGGAAGCGAATTTTTTAGGAAATGAGAATGCAATATTTTATATTAAAAATTAATTGTTACGTACTATAACATGCAACAACACTGTAGGCCAAAGCCTATTTCTGCCTTCCAGTAAGCCATTAATGTCCTGAAGTAGATTGGATAGTCTGCCAAGGGAGAGAGGGGGAGAGAACAATTTCTTTCTGATGGCTTTTCAATCTGACTTGCTAGAGAAATCATAGTACCATCTTTAAAGTGAAGAAAGTGAATCTGTATTTAGTGATACGAATTTACATAGATTATGGCAATGTTCCAGGTAACTATGTTGAATGACTGGTTTTAAAAAACTTGGTTCTCAGTTCTGCCAATAAAAGTCTGAATTTGTGCTGGTCAAAATAAACTGTTACCCTGACAGGTATGAATGCTATGTGCTATCCATAGGGATGCCACGTGGTATTAGTATAATGGTGGCTTCATCACAGTTGGTACCATGGTTGACTGCACTGTTTGATGTTTCACACTCTCATGAGTGTCACTCTAAAGGAGTCGTAAAGGGCTTTGTAAAGAGCTTCTGCCATTACAAATCTCTAGCATGTTTTGATTCTTCCATTAGCTCAATGAGACCCTGAGGTGTCATGCTGAAGCCTGATCTAAGGGAAAAGTCTCAAGTTACTTTTGTTTATGAGGTCAGAAAAGGTACAACTTTAGACATGCTGCAGAATTAAACGTGTTTATTTGGACCTTGCAAAAAAAATGCAAAAGAGAGGGATCCAAAATGCAAAAGAGAAGGGAGGTCACCAGTACGTCTGAACATGTCTTTCTGTATTTGCTGATGTGGATATGGATTTGGTGCTATACTGCTTGAGGGACAAGACAGAAGAAGGGATTCCTTCTCCCACTTCCTCAGGTGCCAGTGGACGTTCCACAGTTCTCCCCAAGTATGGTCTCACAAGATGAACTCATTACTGGGAGATGCAAAGGTTGAAGGACTCATTTTTAGTCAGTTTTCATCTGTTTGATGACGGTCATCTCCAGGAAAAATAACTCTGGTAAGTGGGTACATTGAGTTTCATTTTGTCGTATTTTAATTTTTGCCATAGGTTCTAAAATTGTCTTTTCAAAATAACAGAACTAGGAGAGGACAAAACAAATAAATTACTTTTTTTTTTTTTTTACCAACTGACAATATTAAACTAACAAATAATGGGACTGTGTATTACAAATAGGAACACATGCTTTGGCAGGTTGATGTCATTATGCTGCTTGAAGTAATCAATTATTCTTACATTAGTAAAGGACACGTGCTGAAAACAATGTATGAGCAGTTAAATTCTCTTTATCCCTGTGAACAGTCAGATAACTTGGCTGTCAGACTAAGTGACCTTTATAAATAGGTTACGCTATACATATTGAAAATACTGAGTACTAAGAATAGTACTGATCTAGAATTACTTTGGTGGCTTTTCAGTAGGTTTCAGAATCAAGCTGTGATCATGGCCCTTGTTTGTTCACGGAATTTCTTGGGTATAGACATTCCTTTGTTGGCTGGCAAAATTTAATAAAAGCTTTTTAGTATCTTTTGATATTTGCTAAGTGTCCCAAACAAGGGTGCTTTACCTCCCTTCTGATAAGACAGCACTCCATGCTTCTCAGCTGCAAACTTTGGTGGCTTGTTACTCAGGAACAGACAGGTATCCTTAGGCTTCTTGGAGTAAGTTTTTAACACTTTTAAGTGTTGTGCCAAGACATCAGTACTTCTAAATTCAACAATATTTATTTCTATACTCCCTATGCTTACACCTCACTCAGGCTTTGAGATGTTTCCTTGTGAACTTTTGCCTGGTTACTTAGCAGTTCAGATACTCTTCATAGCTTACGGTCGTATTTTAGAGTTTTGTCATATGCTTTTTTCTTCCTGTGTACTTTAGTGGTTTCTGTCTTTTTTTTTTTTTTTTGTTTTTTCTTTTTTCAGTTGCCTTGACCAGGATATTTTTCTGCATCTGCTGAAAGACTGTGATAAAAAGAAAGAATAAATGAACAGAAGAGAATGTATTTTTATCTGCACTAGGGCTTTGAGTCTATTGCCCAGGAAATTGTATTTGAAGGACGGTGTACTAAGGAGAGACAAAAGGATCTAAAGAGAAGTTCGGCAAAACATTGTGCAACATTTGTCATCAGAGGAATTGCACAGAGTAGAACATGCAAAAACCTTCTTATTAGATTCTTAGATCATAAGCGCTCAGTGGAGACCAAGCAGTTGCTGTATCAGCTGCAGAATCCTTTCCACTGGATCAAACCCACTGGAAAGAATGGGCTTTCATGATACATGTTGATCTCATGGGGCTGTGGGACTGATGTTCTTACTATATTAAAAAAAACAAAACAAAACAAAAAACCCTGCAATTTTTGAGCAATAATGTAAAACAATGTTTTTAAAATCTTGAGAGGTGACTTCTTCAAATCCGATTATTAGAAGGTTTTATAAAATAAGTTAATTCATTTAAGCCTATGTACAAGCCTTACATTTTAAAGTTAAATGCAGTTTGTTCACACTGCAGTAAAAACATTTGCAAAACAGCATGTTGTTTCCTAAAGCACACTTCAGATGTGCTTTTGTACTCACAAATGCATCTGGCTGCTCAAACCAGAATGAAATACAGAATGATACCCTCACTTCCCATAATCCACCCCCAAAAGTGTGAAGGGATTTGCTGTAACTAAACTAAAAACTGATACAGAGGACTGGCTTGGGATAGTGTGATGAATCCTGCATTTCAAAGTAAATTACAAAAATCTATTATAGAGTTCTGTGTTGAGGCTTTTACAGATTACAGATAAGGAGCACATACTATAAAACTAAAGGAGAAAGGGAGAGAAATGTGAAATGGCATTAAATTAAATTTTGTCCCCAAGTAATCAACATATTCTCTATATTGTGCTTGTGATTTCTTCAAGGCTCAATTATATATTTATTTGCATGTAGCTTAGTGAATTGCTGTGGATGAGATGAGCTGTGTTAATGATCCATGTGCATATTCTTGGCCCCTTGAAATATGAGCTAAAACCTTACTTGAAATTTGAAATCCATGTTGCATTTTTATATGGGAAATCCTAGACTGACTTTCAGACTGGATGTGGTAACTATTTTAGCATGGAAAAGGCGATTAAATTTATGGTTAAATCTAGACAGAAGGTGACAGCCAGTTGTATTGAAAATTTCTAGAAAATTCCTCATACTTTCTTTATTCAAAGAAACATTCCATTTCTGTAGGGACTTTGTTTTTTGTAACTTGGAGGCCAGATATTGTGAAATAATTATTTGAGTCTTTTCTGGTACCAGAGATTGTAAAGCTGCTATTTAACAATCACCCAGGACTTAAAGCAAATGGTCATGTCCACTTCCTTGGCAGCAGATGGATTTCTCTGTCTTTTGATAAATACACCTTTTGTTAAGATGCCTGTCACCAACCTAAAAGCTGCAATTATGCAGTTCTTAAGTTCATTGTCATTTTAGATTTTTCAGGGTGCCCTGAAAACTGATGTTTATTCAGTGGTTGATTCTGATTTTTATGTTATTTCTTCACATTTTTTACAGAAACGAAAAATGGACTTTATTGTATTGTAAAACGTAACTGCTTTATGCATCATATAAGCTGGTGTAAATTTTTAGTTGTTATAAAAGATAACGTCTCAGACTGTCATGTTTTTGTATGTGGAGCTCTTATTAAAACATTGTTTCAAATTTGATCCTTTGATCCTAGTGTTTTGTCATGCAGCTGCTCTTCTCTGTAGTGTAGAAAATTAGAAAAGCAAATACACTCGTAAGCCCTTAAGTAATGAATAGTGTCATATGCAGGTTAAAACTTGCCATGTTCAGAGTGGTCTCAATGTCAAACAAATCTTAATGTTTAAAAGAAAAAAACAAAAGCCCAAAGATCTATTATGTATGTCTGTTTTTCTGGGATTTTTTTATAACTGCTTTGTAATTTGAGTACAATTTGTTACTGCCTAATCTTGATTACTAATTCATTTGCATTTCTTTTCTAGGCACTCTGCTTAATAGTGCTACCATTCATTCCTGCATCAAACCTCTTTTTTCCTGTTGGATTTGTAGTAGCAGAACGAGTGTTGTATGTTCCTAGCATGGGATTCTGCATTTTAGTAGCACATGGATGGAAGAAATTATCAAATAAAAGGTAAGGTAGTGTTACCTATGACTGGTTTAACTCACCTCTCTTAATTTCATAAAAGATAGCCATATTTATAACTGCAAGCTTTCCCAGTAGAGCTTTTACCAGTATGAATTTATTACATTACAGCTCTTATTCTGTTTCAAGTTCTTAATGAACACAGAGTAATGATCAAGAAACCGTTTGGCAGTCATGTGAACAAATGACAAGGAAGTTCTTAGGAGACCAGTGGATTATTCTGAGGGTATTATAATATTTATTTAAAATATATATACATATATATA